TCAGACTGCTCTTTCTCCCTTTTGGGTCGTCTTTAGGGCTCTCTTTCTTTCTTTCTTTCACTCTTTTTCTCTTTCTTTTTTCTTTCTTTCTCTCTCTCTTTCTTTCTTTCTTACTCACTCTCTCACTCACTCCTCTTTCTCTCTCTCTCTCTCTCTCTCTCTCTCTCTCTCTCTCTCTCTCTCTCTCTCTCTCTCTCCTCTCTCTCTCTCTCTCTCTCTCTCTCTCTCTCTCTCTCTCTTTCCTCTCTCTCTCTCTCTCTCCTATCTCTCTCTCTCTCTCTCTCTCTCTCTCTCCTCTCCTCTCTTTCTTCTCTCTCTCTCTCTGTCTCTCTCTCTCTTCTCTTCTCTCTCTCTCTCCTCCTCTCGTCTCTCTCTCTTCTCTCCGTCTTCGTCTTTCTTTCTCTCGTCCTCTCCTTCTCTTTCCTCTCTCTCTCTCTCTCTCTCTCTCTCTTCTCTCTCTCTCTCTCTCTCTCTCTCTCTCCTCTCTCCTCTCTCTGTGTTTCCCTCTCTCCTCTCTCTCTCTCTCTCCTCTCGTCTGTTTCTCTCGTCTCTCCTCTCTCTCTCTCTCTCTCCGTCTCTGCTCTACTCTCTCTCCTGCTCTCCATCTCTCTCTCTCTCTTTTCCTTCTCTCTCAGGCTCCGTCTTTTTTTCCTGCTCTCTCCGGGTCACTGTTTGTATCTCTCTCGCGTCTCTCGTCGGTCTCTCTCTTCTCTCTCTCTTCCGGTCTCGTCTCTCTCTCTTCTCTCTATATCTGCTTTCCTCGTTCCTCATCTTCTCTCTCTCTCGTTGTCTCCGCTCGTACTCTGCGAGGCTCTTCATTCTTTCTCTCGTCATCTCTCTTGTTCCTCATCTCTCTCTGTCTCTTTGCTTCTCATCTTTTCTCTTTCTCGTCCTCGACTCTCTCCTCTCTCCTGGCTCTCAGTCCCGGATCTCTTTTTACTTGCTCTCTCTCTCAGTTCTATTTCTCTCTCATTCCTCTCTCTCGTCTCTCTCGTCTCTCCTCTCTCTCTCTCTCTCGTCTCGCCCCATCGGTCTCTCCTCAGTCTCTGCTTCTCTCTCTCTCTCCCGACTCTCCGCTCTCCTCTCTCATCGTCGCTCTGCTCTTTATTCCTCTCATCGTCTCTCCTCATCTCTCTCTCTCGTCTCATCTTCTCTCGTCTCTCACATCATCCTCTCTTCTGGGCGGTCTCTCCAATCTCTCTCTCTCCCTCAGTCTCTCTCTCTCCTCGCTCCTTCCTTCGTCCTCCTCGTCCTCTTCCCCTTCCCAATTTGGCTCTTTTTTCCACTTTCCATACTGATCTTTTCCCTACATTTTCGCATCTTTTTTTTACCCTTTTCCTGTCTCTCAGAATTATCACCGTTTTGCTTGTCCACCTTTCTGTATGCGATTCTCAAGTTATTTTCTCGTATTTTTTCGTTTATTTTGGTAAGGAACTTTCATAGCTCGCCTGTTTTTCAAATGATTTAGTGCTTGTTAAGTTTAAGCGTTTTAACTTTTGTTTCTTTTTCATTTATTTAACGTAGGGTCTTCATCATTATTTTCGTTTTATGCATGTTCATTTTTATGGTACATTTAAATTCTCGCTATTGAGGTAATTGGACATATCATGGGAATCGCTCAAGGTTTCTGATCAAAAGTTGTAATCCTTTGCAAAATATTACAGGAATACTTTCGAAGCATTTGTTCTTTCTCTTCTGTGTCTGTCTGTCTCTGTCTCTGTCTCTGTTCTCTGTCTCTGTCTCTGTCTCTGTCTCTTCTGTCTCTGTCTGCTCTCTGTCTGTCTCTGTCTCTCTCTCTCACTCTCTCTCTCTCTCTCTCTCTCTTCTCTCTCTCTCTCTCTCTCTCTCTCTCTCTCTCTCTCTCTCTCTCTCTCTCTCTCTCTCTCTCTCTCGCCTTCCCAATTTTGGTTCTTTTTTCCACTTTTCCATGATCTTTTCCATTTTCGCATCTTTTTTACCCTTTTCCTGTCTCTCAGAATTATCACCGTTTTGCTTGTCCACCTTTCTGTATGCGATTAGTAAGTTATTATCTTGTATTTTTTTCGTTTTTGTTGGTAAGGAACTTTCATGGCTCGCCTGTTTTTCAAATGATTTAGTGCTTGTTAAGTTTAAGCGTTTTAACTTTTGTTTCTTTTTCATTTATTTAACGTAGGGTCTTCATCATTATTTTCGTTTTATGCATGTTCATTTTTATGGTACATTTAAATTCTCGCTATGAGGTAATTGGACATATCATGGAATGATATGTCCAAAAGTTGTATCCTTTGCAAATATTACAGAATACTTTCGAAGCATTTCTTCCTCTCTCTCTGTGTCTCTGTCTCTGTCTCTTCTCTGTCTCTCTCTGTCTCTGTCTCTGTCTCTGTCTCTGTCTCTGTCTCTGTCTCTGTCTCTGTCTCTGTCTCTGTCTCTCTCTCTCTCTCTCTCTCTCTCTCTCTCTCTCTCTCTCTCTCTCTCTCTCTCTCTCTCTCTCTCTCTCTCTCTCTCTTCTCTCTCTCTC